CTAGTACTGGCTAGTCCCACTGGGCTGTGATTGGCTAGTACTGGCTAATACCATGGAGATTTCAGAAAGCTAGCTGGCTTGCTGATTTCACTAAGCCTTTATGATATGTACAGAAAATGAGCCAAACAAAGTTGATGGTAATGGACTTTACTAGCGTGTGCATGTGTGTCCGGTTAGCAAGAGAGGCGAGTGTGCTGTTTGGATTCTGTTGTAGAGCGTAGTTGTTCTGTTGTGTGAGTGGTTATTGTTAACAATATATAGTATGTGTGTGTGTACAGTAGCCTTGTGTACAGTAGCCTTGGCTTGCATCCATGAAGTCTTGTATTTTGCGCATTGAGACTGTGTAGGACTTCAGTATAAAATTTCGCAGACTGCTTATAACCCTAAAAGATTTCATGCTGAGCCTTCAGAGTTTCCACCCCACCACAAAGTTGAATTAACAGAACATGTAATATGTTGCATCACATCCTCGTGGTGTTTCTTTTTCCTCTTTACAAGGCTTTTCTCCTCACCCGTCCCACCCAGCCAACCTCCCTCTCAAGATCGTATTTAAACCCACATATCGGACGATTCCATCAGTAAGCAGAGCACACATCCACAAAAACAACTGACAGTGCCATTACACATATTAATATAGCAAAACAAAGATGATTGATTGCAGTGCCGTGAGCTGGCTGTTTTTCAGAAATAAGTTTCCTCTGTCTTTGCCTCCTCTCAGCATTCCCAATTGATAAACTGGGGATCTGTATTAAATATTTTCATTTAGAGATCATCTTTTTTTAAATTTCTTCTTGGAAATTTACTTAAATTAACGCTTGCAATTGTTAATCTTGATAAGTTTTCCTGGCTTTGTTTATTTTTTGTGACATAGCTAATAGCTATACCTCTTTTTTTAATTTCAGCTCTGAACATTTTATGTGTCATGTGTTTCAAGTTCTGATGTTCTGATAAGACATTTTCATTAATGTCATTCGTTCAACAGAGCCCTCATAAAGTTATGAGAGGAAAGAATCGTGCAGCAGGCATGATCAGAAATTCTTAAACCAATAATATGGTTTCCACTGCTTTGATTCTGTACTCCAGCCAAATGGATTTGATATGAAACGGCGACTATTATGTCGAAGTGCTGATTTTCAGCTTGACGAGTGTTCAACACTAGAGAGATGGCTCTGCCGATTGGTTGGTGCACTATTTGGTCCAGGCTAAAATATCTCAACTATTAGATGGATTGCCGTGCAATGTTTTTGGACAGACATTCAAGGTCCCCAGAGGATGAACCCTGCTTTGTCGTGATCCCCTGACTTTTCCTTTCGCGCCATAGTGCGGTTAACATTTTACTTTATTTTTTTAACAAAATGTGTCAGCATCTATTGGATGGTTTGCCATGACATTACAGACATTCATGTTCCCCTGAGGATGAATTGTAATAACGTATGTGATCCTTGTGCTTTCCATTTAGCGCCATCATCATGTCCTAATGACAGCTATACTTTGTGTTTTGTTTACCATTACAATAGCATGTTGTTGTCATTGTGATCATGTTAGCATGCTAATGCTAATCTTAGCATTTGTGTAAGTCCAGCCCAAGTGAGCGTGGCTGTAGACGAGGGTTGGACTCGCTAGAAATACATTCACCTGTATCTCAACAATGTAGGATTTAAAGCCAACAACACCACAAACATGAGTTCAGTTATCTGAGTGGTACGGCATCGGCTCTGCTGCTGCTAATTGGCTAGCTCCTTTAACTGTGTCACTACATGAGCTAGCACTAGCAATATCGCCTGCTGGGAGATCCTCGGCCTCCTCTCGCCCCTGTTCTCTGGATTGGCTGGAATCAGTCTGCCCCGTTACTCTCTCCTCCTCCTCCTCCTCCTCCTCTTCACTTTGTGCCGGCATGATTCTTAAAGTCATCACTGCCGCAGCTAGCAGGATTTTGCACGGCACTGTCCTCATGAACGGTAGTAATGGTGTTATTTTGAATAATAAATGTGTTGTATTTAAACATTCTGCAGCATCAGCCTCGAGAAAACTAACCATTAACTGCAATGACTTTCAGTTAACTTGCTCAATTACTTTCTGTCCCATAAAAGTGGGGGCACTGTGTAAACTGCAATTCCTGCATTGTTCACATAATGTAGATGTGAACACCCTCAAATTCATGCTTCAAGTCGGCACTCTTAAGCTCACGGTTAATCCAAATCCAACGTGTTGGGCTGCAGGCCCGTAACAATATCAACTGTGTCACTGTGCTAATACTTAACAATTGCTCTACATGTCCTGTTCCTTGTTTCAAAGCTGAACCCCACGCTGATGGATTCCTTCACTCACTCCCTCCCTCTCTTTTTCCTCACAGTGAACTTTGACCACTTTCAGATATTACGGGCTATCGGGAAAGGGAGCTTTGGAAAGGTAATGTAACCTCTATTTTTTTTTTTTTACTCTGTGTGTGTGTGTGTGTGTGTGTGTGTGTGTGTGTGTGTGTGTGTGTGTGTGTGTGTGTGTGTGTGTGTGTGTGAGCGCCTTCAGTCGACCTGCACAGTCATTATCTCCGCTGAAGAATCGGCGAAGGCCGGGGCAGAACGGGAGAGATTACACTTCAGCTCTCATGACATTATGGCGCTTAAGAGATAAATAATGATTCTATTTTAATAATAGTTATAAATGCGGCTTATGTAATTCCTTCTGTGAAGTCACTCAGAGGAGAGCCAATTTACTTTGCATCTCATGCCAGCCGACCCGTTCGGAGTGTTGACCCCACTCCTCCATTTAATTACAGAGCAGCACAATGCTGTGGCTGCGTTTGTCACCACGTTGGGCTGAATGCAGCAGGGAGGAAAACTTGTCGTGTGTGTGTGTGTGTGTGTGTGTGTGTGTGTGTGTGTGTGTGTGTGTTCTGCATATTGTGGAACCAAATTACAGCAGCCCTTTTCAAGCTTGTCTCAGTTGCCAATATCGTCATTGGTGGCCATTGTTGAAAAAAACAAAACTGACATTTTGGATTAACTTTCAGGGCAATTTTTTAGATGAAGGATTCCTTTTGTGAGACTCCAGAAATGAATTCGGGGCGCAGCGTGTGTGCGCGCGCGCGTCGACACACAGTCGGGCTCCAGAGATCGGAATAGTTTATCTTCATTTTGAATCCCAAACATCACGGCTAATATTTGTTCATTACTCTGGTGTCTGCGCACGCCTTTTTGCAAATTCTTTCTGCTTTGCTCTCCTCAAAAGACAATCTTTTTTTTCCTCCAAAACACGTCCCTCCGTTATATGGGAAGTCCTTGCCCGATGCTGAATACATTACCATGTGAATTTATGTAAATTGTTTTACTTATTGCTTCGTTCCCTCAAGCTGCTGCCACTTCCCTCTTGATACTGAAGGGGAATCTGCAGCAAGCCGGGAGATACGCCCCATGCAGGCCTCGTTTTTTTTTTTTTTTTTACACATTAGATTATTTAAATTATGTTTGGAATAAAGGCCACATGGAAATAATTGTTCAATCATGTTTTTAGTTTTAAAATGTGAACCCTAAAGAGCTTGAGATAAGCTGCTCTCCTGTTTAAGAAAGATGCGGGAAGAGGTGCGGCTCTTGTCCGAGATCTGCATCACAGTCATGTTCGCACACACTTTGATGCAGACAAACTGCACTCGCACAGTCGGCCAGATGCTCAGTGAGACGTCCATATAAAGTTTGTCCTCGTTGGAGGTCATCCTGTCTGTGTGTTTCTGGCCCACTGTGGCCACAAAACACTCTGCGCTCCCTGCTGTTCCTGAATACTTAACAGCGTGAGTCCACTGAACACACAGAGGCCTTGTTGGTGTGCGTTAGCAGGGCTTTGGTAAAGAAGACGGGTAAACCTCGACCTCCAGTCGGCACAGAAGCGAGACAGAACCATCATTTTGAATAAGAACACTTATCTTTTGACGCTTTGCATCAATGTCTACTTTTTGCACCCAAAACAAACAGCATCATCTTGATGTTACATTATTATTTACTCAATGAAATGTTGCTATAATGATCTATATTAGTCTAAAATGCTGTTTGAACCGTAATAAAATACAAAAGCACGACACAAAAACAGTGGTGTGTGTGAGAGAAATGTAAAGAGTGGATCACAGAACGTAGAGGTGTTTACCTCACACTGTAGTGCTGTGAAACATGATCTGTATATTCCAGCCTGGGTAGGTGTGCCAACAAAATGGGCTCTTTGGTGTGCGGTACTGTAGATGTGTGTGTGTGTTTGTTAGAGTGTGCGTTGCCGTGCTCGCTTTTGCACAGTGGGGACTCGTGAGGTAGGTTGGAGCTGAGAAAGAAGAGGCTGTGAGAGGAAAGCCATCTGCAAACCTGGCAGACAGACACTGGTTTTACTCAAATTCTCTGTCTCTCCTTCTTGCTCTACGCACAGTATTAGGGGATGCATCTTTCTCTACCGCTTTTCTTGCCCTCGCTCCTTCAACTACAAACTGCCCTCAAACCGCCCTTTTTAGATGCGCAGTAATCTGAACTTTTCAGGGCCAGGCGCGGAGTCGCACCCCGCGTCAATGTCACACTTGGCCCAGGCAGCCAATCAAGTCAAGCAAGAGGCGGGCTTTACTACTTTACCACTGCCTTCCTGTTTTAATGCCGATAGATGTGGTAGGGCTAGCTAGCTAGTTAGCTATAACTGTTGGAATGTAAGAGAGCTATTGACTATGTAAGGGAGCGAGTGTACACGTTGTCCATCGTCCGTTAATAACGTATGATCTTTTTTTAGCACGCAGTGTCGCTGTCACACCGCGCTGTTTTGCCTGACCTGCTTTGCCGACGTGTTGATGAAGCGGATGCGTCTGTAGCGACGCTTCTCGGTGTGATCAGCCCCGGAGTCATCGATGCACATTTGCAGGTTGCACTCCGGGCTTCTGCTAGATCTACGCCACTTGACACACCTCAAAATCAGTCTGATAAAGGTTACCAACCACAGACTGTATGTAAAGATGGGCGGCATGACGGCTCCCCATAAGTATAGGTCATAAAGCCCCCACATTAGCTGATGGGGTTGATTTCTGCAGTTCTTATCATGCTGATGTATGTTCAAGTGTTAATTTTTCTGATTAGTTTGGTTTTAATTAGTCATTTGATGCTTACGTGATTGACAGCTGGCCTGACTGAAGTAGTCAAGGCTAACCCTCAAGACGATGTGTAACTATAACTTTCCATAACCGTGGTTGTCTGGGTCTATGGTTCATACAGTCACTGACCCTGTCGCTATTTAGCTTTCCACTGGTCAGCCAGCTCTGTCAGACCAATCGAATCAATTTGATCGTCAATGTATTAAAACCTGTTGCCACTCCAGTAAAATAGCCTAAAACGCCATCCAAGTCATACCCAAAGTAAATTGAAAGCTGTTCTTGAACCATTTGGAGTGCATGCATGGTTTTGGTCTCTTTTGAAAGGTAACACTCTGAAGTTTATAATTCCGCCTGAATATTTATTTGCAAACAGATGCCTGTAGATGACTATAGCTGGGACTTATTAGCTGGAAAACACAATGGGACCACAGCATGAAGCCTTACCTAGTCCAAGTTCAAATTTGATAACAATACCACGGAAAATTAATATTTTACACATGTTTTTCTAATGGTATGTCGAGGCGCTTTCCAAAAAAGGCTATTTGGAGACCCATGGTAACATACCCAGGCTCTGTAAAAATGTGTATTCATAATTCAATCTAAAGCTTATTTATGTCTAAATACAGTAATCTATAAGTTATTTCACCATTATTCACTTCCTAAATTCTCAAACTCTCAAAAACCACACTTTGCATTTAGCGCACGGATGTAGGGACCTGACTCGCGGTTACGCAGGTGACTTCCGTGTTCTGCCTCTAAATCCAACCCCTGAAGCTGTATATTGTTGTTTTCGAAATTTCATTGGCTATACGAAGCGTCAGTCATCAGAACGATCGGTTGCAATTGGCTCAAGCTTTACACGAAAGAAGAGGGGCAGGCACTTTCCTTCAATGCGGACTCTCGTTGGCTAGTGTAGGCTCTAGACAGGACATGGAAGCTCCTATTGGGTCAAATGAGGTGTCAATCTAAAGGTCAGAGTGCAGCCGCCATTTTGAGACACAGAGACCATCAATGTTTACATGCGAACTGGAGTTACGTTGGAAAATATATAAATAATTAGGCATATCTGCCGGCTAATTTGAAATGATGCAACAGCGGTCCGTGGGTATTTATGGAAGTAATAATGTGTTTTGGACTAAATATTTTACTGGATTGGATCGTCTGGACCTTTGGCAATGTAACAAGACCGTTTTTGTTGGAACATTATCGATGGGTGGACTTCTATAAAGCTTCATCGGTGAGTTGCCTCGATTTTGTAACAGCTTGTTTGTTGGTTGGTGGTCTGACAGAGGCGTTGATTGTACCTGTTGTTGTGATTGTATCTTGAAATGGTTTGCATAAATGGAATCACAAGAATCTTAGCTTTCCAAAGATATGTCGCATCAGTGCCTACCTATACATAGCAGTTGTGTACATGACCCAGATGTACAGTTAACACTCCGACGGCCCCTGTTCCTTCTATATCAGCACAGATACCTCTCTCTCACCCTCTCCCTTTTAATATATCGGGCCTAGTTTCTCTCTCGATCCTCCGCCGTTCCTCTCGCAATCCAATTCAAGGGTGTTTTATGGCCTTGACACCTGTTTCGGCAAAAGCAATACAATATTATTGAGAATAAAAGATGGCATTAATATTGTTTAAAGCTTTACTCTTCCCGATAATGCTTTGGCGCATCTGTCCTCTCCCTGGTGGTGGTAGGGGGGGAAGAGTGATGGTAGCTTGGTGTGATTATTTCCACAGCAGTGGAGAATATAGATCGTTTGTAACGCGCCATGCCGGATGGCCGTACGCGGCAACGGAGTCGTAGATAATTGCTCGCTCCCCCGTTGCCCTTTCTCCCTATATATATCTCTCTCTCTCTCTCTCTCTCTCTCTCTCTCTCTCTCTCGCCTCTTCGCTACCTTTTCACCAGGAGCATCACACTTCTGCCCCCCTCTGTCGCTCCCATCTCGTCGCTTCCGCCACGGGGCTCATTAAGGCGATTAGTTGACACTCGAGAGAGGACATGACAGCAGTTTATCACAGCTCCTGGTCGTCAACAGTCCGACGGACAGGTAAACATCCAAGCAGAGAGGAAGGAGAAGAGGCGGGATGGAGAGAGACATGTTAGGTCAAAGGTAATGCAGGAGTTCAGCTGGTGGGTTTCGACATCTTCGTACCCTGTAGCGCGCACGCACTTCAGTGGGATGAACCCTCATTAGGAGTGTGATGGAAGTCGAAATAGAGATGCTGGAAAATAAGTGGGAGTGGAAGAGAGAAGGAGATGATACAGCGAGGGGGAAAGGACAGCGAGGGAGGTTG